GGGGGGAGCTGCGGGACCGTCGCCTGGAACTCGTCCGGCAAGGATCCTCATCGCCTCGGGCGATCCCGAGACTGGCGTCCCGGGAGCAGGGGGCGGGGGGCGCGCCTCCGCGCGCCCATGGCCTGCAGGTGCCGTCCCCCCCTGCAACGGAGACGGCTCCCGGCCAGACCCCTAGCCCGGCCTGCGGTCTGCAAGTCGCTGGCGGAGTTCGGCGACCTTCAGCTCCCGGGCCTCGACCTTCTCGGCAGCGTTCTCCTCGTCCAGAGAGGCGCCTGATGGAAGCTGTTCCTGTGCGACCAGCGTGAGCCACCGTGCCGACCGCCAGTTCCCGTCGCGGATGGCCATCGTCCGCGCCTTGAACTCCTGCATGAGCAGATCCGCAGTCTCGACGACCTCTCCGCGCAGGATGCCGTCGAGCGCCAGCCCCAGCGTGCGGAGGACCCGCACCTCGTCTGTCCCCAGCGTCCGCGGCGGGTGAGCAACGAAGAACACCGTGTTCAGGAACTGTGTGACACACGGGGCCAGAGGGTCGGCCTCGCCTGCGGACAACTGTTGGGTGAACTGGCTGCGCAGGTGGCCAAGCCCATTCTCGAGGAGAGCGCCGGGCCGCTGCCGAGCGATCCTGCGGAACAAGTCCCGCTTGATGTTCACGCCCTGGTAGCGGTCGCGGCCCCCAAGGCGCTCCGTGTCGCTCTCCGCGCCGTCCTCCGCGTCGTCGTCGTCGCGGCCCAGGAGCGCTGCGGTCAAAGCTGACGCCAGCCTGCTCCTCGACCCCGTGGCGCTGGTGCGCGCAGGGGCAGCAGCGGCGGCTCGGCCAGCCACCACCTGCGCCAGGCGCTCGCCCACGGCTCCCGCTGGGCGCGCAGCATTCTTGGGCGTGCCCTGCCTCGGCACACCACGAGCTGCCCTGCCCCCGAGCCGCGCCAGCCGCGCCTCGAGCTCTGGGTCCTCGGCGGTCTCCTCGAGCCCTGCAATCTCCTGGTCGAGAGGGCTCGTCTCTCCTGGTCCGCCAGGGGTCTGGGTGCCCTCCACCTCGCGGGCACGCTTGCGCGGAGGCCCGCGAGGCTCCTCCTCGTCCTCGTTGGCTCCATCCCCGAGCGGCCAGCCGCCGAGCTCTCCAGGCAACGGCTCGGCCGAGGGCGCGTCGGTCAGCACAGGCGCCCCAGGATCCGCGGCCGGGCAGATGAGCTTCGCCTGCTCGCGGGCCACATCGCGGGGGTCCACCACCTGCCACACGTCCAAGTGCTCGACAACTGCGCCCACTGGAGCGACCGCCCCGCACTCGGCGGCGCTGCACTTGCAGAGGTGGAAGACCGTGGCCAGGGGGCGCGCGCCCTGCTGCCCGCAGGAGGCTGCATACCATGAGAAGTACGGGTCGCTGGCGCCCACATGCCGGCCCTTGAAGAAACGGCCGAAGGCGTCCGCCTGGTAGGCGACCTCCACTTCGAGCATCTCGACGCCCTGCGGCGCCCCGAAGTCGTCCTTGACCCGCGCCAGGACCCGTGCACCAGCCCACAGTGGCAGCCCCGGCACCAGGTCGCCGTTCAGCGCCGCGTCGAGCCAGGCCCCTCTCGGGAAGGGCCACCCGACAGCTGCCGGGGCTGCCCGCTCCATCGGGCTCCTCGCCAGCAGCAGCGCGGGAGAGGGGCGACCCGCGCCCGGGATCCTCGTCTCCCAGCCAGGTCTTCGCTCCCCTCACCCCGCAAAGTCTGCCAGCGAGGCTGATCAGAATCAGTCGTCCGAGCGTGGCCCTCCAAGCGGCCGCGCTCGGCGCGGCAAACTTTCAGTAGACAGAGTGGCTCGGCAGCGGCCACAGACGGGCGGCACCGCCCGGTGACTCCGCTGCCTGTCTCCAGCCAACACAGCTACGGAAGATGGATGAAACTCAACCGTTCTCCATCAACGGCGTCGCGCACGCTCAGGTGGACTCCGCATAGGCTTCCTTGGAAGGTTACTATATGCACATACCTATACGACCACCCTTCGGGTGATAAGGAAGTTGCGTGGGGGGGAGAGGGGGGGCACCCAACATCGGACTCAATCGATCTCACTATCGATCTCACTCAACGGGAAACCATAGGACACCACGGGACACTTGTAGATCTCACTATCGATCTCGCTCAACGGGACACTAAAGGACACCACCGGACACCACGGGACACCGCGGGACACCTCTCGATCTCACTGTCGGTCTCACTACCGATTTCACTATCGATCTCACTCAACGGGACACCATAGGACACCAGGGGACACCAGGGGACACCTCGGGTCACCACATCGATCCCACTATCGATCTCAATATCGATCTCACTCAACGGGACACCACGGGACACCACGGGACACCTGTCGATCTCACCATCGATCTCACTATCGATCTCACTTTTTGGGACACCACGGGACACCACTGGACAAATCGGGGCAACACATCGATCTCAATCTCGATATCACTATCGATCTTACCATCAATCTCACTCAACGGGACACCACGGGACACCACAAAACACCGCGGGACACCGCGAGCCACCGCCAGACGGACGGACGGACGGGCGGGCGGGGGAGAATCACGTGTCCTGACTTAGCCCTAGCAACGGCGAACACAACGGGACACCACGGGACACCGCGAGCCACCGCTGGTCGGTCGGACGGGAGCGAAACATTTGTCTTGACGTCGCCCTAGCAACGGCGGACACCACGGGACACCACGGGACACCACGGGACACCTCGGGACACCGCGGGACACCGCTAGGGCCACCGCCGGACGGACGGACGGACGGACGGACGGGAGAGCAACATTTGTCTTGACTTCGCCCTAGCAACGGCGGGTTCATTCCTCTCGCGTGCCCACGCTGCTTCGCCTCGCCCGCACGCACGGCACGAGCGAAACGAAACGACTTCCCGGTTGGGGGTCTCCGTTCCACTGCGATCTCACCCCCCGCCCTCGGATGCATATACATGTATATATGTAATCATACATACACATCTGTACACCTGTACACATAATTACAAAGACATGCATGCATGCATGTAAGTATGTATGTCTGTATGTGTATATGTACACATATATACATATGTAACCTGTCCTCGTCTACCAAATCCCCTCCCTTTGTCCTCGTCTGCCTCCTCCCCTCCCTTCCTATCACCAGTCCCTATCAATGAATTGTCCCATTCTCTTCTTCTTTCGCCGCCAGGAACCTCCCGGAGTGAGAGACTGCACTCCAACAGTCAAAGACCAACACGGGGTCGATGTGTTACCTTTCAGCTGAACGCTCTGCCATCATCGCTTCGACTTGCGCGCCCCGGGTGGGACGCGGCGGTCATCGCGAGCAAGCAAGCGACATGCTGCTCGCTACCGCATGCGTGCCTTGAATGATGGTGCTCCCATCGTACTTGAGGACCAGATCCCAGAAATAAGTTCGAGCACCTGGAAAAGTGTCGAAACAGTGTCGAAACAGTATCGGACGAGAATCTCCCAGAGCCCGACACGTGAACACCATCGAATTTCGGTACTTTCTTGCTGCTCGAAATTCTTCCTGGTGGTCCAGGCTAAAGTGGGTTGGAACATCATGAGCCTTGAAACGAACGACTCTGGGAATTACGGTCCCGCCTGAATCTGGCGAGTGCTCTTGCCCGCCAGGCCCACAGGGCACGGGGCCGCGCGCCAAGGGCCGAAACGCGCGTTGTTCGTCCCCGAGCGCCGCGCTTGCACACCTGAAGCTTGAGCGCGCGCGCGCGTACCTTGCGGCCAGGTCGACAAGATCGGTACCACACGGCACGTGGATGGTCGTACCATCGTTTGCACAAAAGAACAAATCCGCGTTGTACTTCACACTCACTTCGCCAGTAGTGCAGTTGAACCCCATGCCAAGACACACCCTGCTTGCCTCCAGGGTGTCCTGGGTTTCTTGGTTTTCGATGATTTTGCGATGGCAAGCGTGACGTTCCCGCACCCCAAATCTATGAACGTCCTGGGCCCTCAGGATTGGGTTTCTTGTGGAAGGTTTCTTGTGGTCGAGCCCATGCTGTACCACGTTAGGTCGGGCACGTCCTCCTGCAGGCAGATTTCGGAAGAAATACCAAACATGGTCAAACCATACCCCATATGTTGCTGATTACTTTTGGGGTATGGTTTGACCATGTTTGGTATTTCTTCCGAAATCCGCCTGCAGGAGGACGTGCCCGACCTAACGTGGTACAGCATGGGCTCGACCACAAGAAACCTTCCACAAGAAACCCAACCCTGAGGGCCCAGGACGTCCATAGATTTTGGGTGCGGGAACGTCACGCTTGCTATCGCAAAATCATCGAAAACCAAGAAACCCAGGGCACCCTGGAGGCAAGCAGGGTGTGTCTTGGCATGGGGTTCAACTGCACTTTTCTTCCAAGGAGGCCCAGATTTCTCCGGGAGCGCCCCGCACGAGGCCTGGAGCGCTGCCAAGCTGCAAACCCCGGCGCGGAACGCTGGGGGGCACCTGTGGCCCGGCTCACGTCTGTTGGCGGCGCGCAGAGGACGGGCCGCAGTGGCAAGGACGCCAGGGTACCCTAGAAAAGGCGCGCGTCGTTACTATGCGCGTTGACTGTAGGTGTACTGGCTCAAGGGGGGGGGTGCAAACCATCGACCCGAAATCAGCGACGCATCGCCAGTAGATCGGCGATAGGCCCCCATGGCGGGACCGCGAGTGGGGCACCCGCGCCCCGACCGGCGATGAATGGGTGATCAGGGGTCGATGCCCCCCTTCCTGGCCCACCTCCCCCGCTTCGCCCCCCCTTGGTGGCGCGCACAAGGGGGTAGGGGGAGGGGGGAAGGCTTCTTAGAAGGAGGCTGCTGTTTAGAAGGCTCCAGTCTCACATCTACAGACAAGGCCCGCACCTCCTGAGAAGCCTTCCCCCCTCCCCCTACCCCCCCTCTGCGCGTGGCTGAGTCTGGCAACCGCTGATCTCTGCCCCGCCTCCTCCCGTGCACCCTCGTCAAGAGCCGACGAGGCGCAGTCGGCGAGGCCCACCTCCGCAGCCGCCAGCGCGCTGGCAACTGCTTCGCGCACGGCCTCCGGCACGGCCACTGGCTGGCCGCCGCGGCCTGCGCATCGGGGTGTGCCCGAAAGCGGTCGCCGTCGCTGCACTCGCGATGGATTTCTGCTCGGCTCTCTTCGCTGCTGGCTGCGGCTGCTGCTGACGATCGCTGTAGTCACAACAGAAATGACAAATGAGGAGCTGCTGGAAGATCCGACAGGCCACTCAAACAACTTTTCGAATGCCGCGGCGTGGTCAAGCGCGCGTCGCCTCTGCACCCGCGATCTTCCAAATCCCACATCATATGTGCACTTTTTCTGCTCTGTGCGACCTTCCGTACACATGCCTGCCCATGGCGAACCGTATGGCATGAAAATGTTCCGACGGCCCGTTTGCATGTGGGCAACATGCGTCGAAGTTAATGGGCGATACTTAATCAAGCTAGGAGCTATTTGTAAAGAGTGCGCAGTGCTTGGGCTATGCACGAGCTGTACTTTCTGGGGGGGGGGGCAAAATCAATCAACGAGTAAGCCGCCACCGCGCTAAGATCCACCTCGAGATGTCCTATGTGTAGTCGGGGGGTATGCTATAGGGCGTGTCTCTTCGTCTGGCCATCGGCACGGAGGGTAGGTCATCAATCACGGTGTGCCCATGGCCCCATGTGACACTGGCCGTCTATTGACGAGGACATTGCACGATCCACTTACAAAACAATCCTGCACGAGGACGACTCACGCCCTTGCCTCGAACTTCGACTCTTTCAGCACGGGCTCCCGCCAACGGAGAGTGTGCTGCCTGTCCTGCGCACCCTGGAACAACTGATCCCACATTCACATTCTCAACTCCAACATCCCCACATCCCTCCATGATTATTCTCATCTCCATTCTCATCCGCTTCATCCCCCCTCCAATTTAGGATATGCAGCGTGCACGCGTGCACAGCCAACAACGGCAGCTGGTGATAGCGCTCCCAAACATGTCCCTGTTCCTCATCCCTGAACATGTCGCGTGGCTCGCGTTCACTCGAGGCCCCATCACCAAGGCCGCCAGAGCGGTCCGCGCCTTGCAGGGCAAACTGAAATTGTGTCACATATGGGTGAGCGAGTGAGCGAATGACCTTGCACGCCACCCCGAGAGAATGGGAACGGTGAAGGAACAAGGGAAGCGGACGACCAGGAGGGAAACGGGGAGCAGAGAGGATGATGAGGTGCATCAGGAGGGCAACTGCGGAACAGAAGGGAGGAGGGAGAAGGGAGAGCAGTTGGGGACGAGGAGGAGAACCATGGGGGAACACGAGGGCGGGGGAGCCGGAGTCAAACACCGACGACTCGATGCTTTCGAGTCGCCCGCCCATGGAGCTCTCGACCCCCCCTGCCCAAGGCAAATTGTTGTGGTTGACGGTTCCCATCCCGGGAAGCAGCCCTCGGGCGCTGAAAATTGCTGAGCAGGCCTCCCATGCGATTCTTTCGAGTCGCCAGGGGGCCAGGGAGGAGGAGGGAACTGACGAAGAAAACAAGAGAACGGGAGCACGGCCCACCATCTGGGCACCGCCCCGAACGGAAGAAGCGAGGAGAGCCCGCGCACCAGTCAGGTGGGCCTGCCTCCCACTCGCTCTCGCCCTGGCCCCTCTCCTGCTCGTGAACCCCCTGGTATTGCCCCGTCTCCTTCCCCGATCCTCCCCCTCTTCCCCCCTTTTGCTCCACCCCGCCCACCTCCTCCATTCGCGCTCGGCGGCGAGCGAGGGGGAAGTGTCCTGCATCTTCGGGGAAGGCTCAGAAAACTTCAAATGTCGAGAAACTTCCGAGCCTTCTGAGAAGGTCCGCCCGGGCGCGCCGCCGACTCTCTCCACGCCCGCCCGCCTCCTCCATCCACGCCTTAGCCTTCTCTTTTGCGTCCTCGTCGTCGTCGTCCTGGTCCTGCCACTGCCTTCCTCGCCGCGCAGCCTCCTCGTCTTCTGCGTCCGCCGCCTCCTCCTCCCCCTCCTCCTGCTCCCCTCGTGCACCCACGCCTGCTCATCATCCCCATCCTCCCTCTTCCTGCCCCATCCTTCCTCCCTCCTCTCCTCGCTCCCGCTCCCTTCCCTCTAGGAACACAGACAACAGCCGAACCAAACCTGAGCAGACCCGCTCCAAACAAGGGTCATCTTTGAAGCACGTGTCTTGGGTGGCCTCTTGGGCAGGGGGGCCGGGTGGGGGGTCGGGTGGCCTTCTGGGCAGGCAGGTTTGGACGCCCGAAATGGGTACGGAAAGAATGGGTACAATGCCCATCAACAAATGTTGTCCCAAACCAACAGCGGCCGCTGTTGGGCAGGCGGCCTTCTGTTTCGAATGGACACAGGCCGCGGCGGCGTGGACAGCGAGGCCTGTTCAAAATGAACAAGATCCGCTGTTGGGCATTGTACCCATTCTTTCTGTGCCCATCTCGTTCGTGCAGAGCAGGGGTCGTCGTGGAAGGGTCCGGGTGCTTCTAAGCCGGCTCCTGAAAAGACCGGCAGGCTGCTGGCAGGCCCCCCCGTGCCTGCTCAGAAGAGCGGTTCCGTCGCCCACCCGTTCCTGCGCGCCGCCAAGAAACCAAGGGGGCCTGGGTGTACTGGCTCAGGGGGGGGGGGCAAACCATCGACTCGAAATCAGCGATGCATCGCCAACACGCCGATATCGGCGATAGGCCCCCATGGCGGGACCGCGAGTGGGGCACCCAAGCCCCGACCAGCGATGAATGGGTGATCAGGGGTCGATGCTCCCCTTCCTGGCCCACCTCCCCCGCTTCGCCCCCCGCCCCGCCTGCCCTATCTGGCTGGCCCTGGAAGCACTGAGTCCGAAAATGTTGCCACCTCTTGGGTTGGGGGGCGGAAAGATACGGATACGTGTTGTCCCCGGACCTCTCTTGGGGTGCGTTCTGACCAGAATTTCGAGGCGAATCCAGCGGTGACAACGAGGATTCCCCAGGAGGACCAGGAAAGGCCGAAAACGAAGGTGGAGAACACGTGTCCGTATCTTTTTCTCCCCCGATTGGGGGGCGCACTCTCTACTTCCGCCAGCCTCCGCCCGCGGAGACGGCCTCGTTGGACGGCCGCGGGCTTCCGCCAGCTCGGGCGCGAATTCATGGGGGGGCCGCCGCTCCGCCGCCCGCCCCGACGCCCTCGCCCGCCTCCGCACCTCGCGCCGCGGCGCTGCAGCGCGAGGCGCGGCGGCCTTCGCTCTGGGCCAGATTTCTCCCTTCAGCCCCCCCTTCTTCATCTGCTTCTTCTTCATCTGCTTCATCTACTTCTTCTTCTCCTCCCAATAGTTTAAATGCTAGTCGTACCGTTCCGTATCTCATTTCTAGTAATCGCAGTGCTATTATTATGTCTGTTGTCATTCTCCTTGCCGGTTCCATTGTCATTCTCGTTGTCAATCTCATTATTGTGCTTTGTAGTATTCGTCGTTTTTCATTATTAATATTACTACTGCTTCTAGTATCATTTGCATCATCAGCAGTTTGATTTTTTAGGGCTATCAAAAGTACAATTGAGATTACTGCTCGTACTGATGATTCGTATAAACGCTACTAAAGTACTAGCATTCGTCCTCTTACTATTAGTATCCGTGCTCTGATTCAAAGTCTGATTCGTAGTACTGCTACTATCATTATGTGTATGTTGCTCCTTCTGATTGTTCGATCGGACCCTCCAGGGGTGCAGCGGCTCATGCAGACGAGGAGGAGGACGAGGAGCAGGAGGAGCAGGAGGAGGACGAGGAGGAGGCGGAGGAAGGAGATGCCTCGCACCCTGTGCGCGCCACGCGGCCTGCCCGAGAGAAAAGGGGGAAAGGAATCCGCTGCCTCGGCGGTCCGCCGCTCTCTTTTGGCCGAGGGGCAGCCGAAACAGCGTGCCCGCAAACGGCTCCGTGGGAGCCGCAGAGGCCTTCCCCTGGGGGGCGAAGCGTGCCATCCCTGAGCACATCGAGCAGGCATCGCGTTCGATCCCCCCCCCCGCCCCCGAGGGGGATGGCCGAAGCCACTGTGAGCGCCTCCGAGGCGAGGTGGCCCATCGCACTGGGAGTGCCTCCAAGACGAGGGGGGAGGCGGGACAGAGGAGAGGGGTGGGGGGAGGAGTTCACATGTAATTGAACGCAGTTTAATTCTTCTCTCTTTCCACAACCCCTCCTGCCCCTGCTCGGAGGAAAGGTTTCTCTCACTGTTCCCTATTAGTATACACCCCCTCCCCCAGGCGACTGGTAGCCAACCCGAATCAATGAGGGCACCCACCACCATCCCTGGTAACAAACGATGCAAAATACACTCTGCCTCCACATTCTGAACATGCGCAACAAACCCGATGCGGCCTCCCCCCACCACCCCTGTTTTAAAAAAACAGTGCAGAGTACACTTGGCGGCGGCGGCGGCGGCTGCGGCGGGGGCAGCGGCTGCGGTGGCTGCGGCGGTGGCGGCGGCGGTGGCGGCGGCGGCGGTTCGGGCGGCGGCGGCGGCGGCGGCGGCGGCGGCGGTGGCGGCGGCGGCGGCGGCGGCGGGCGGCGCGGCGGCGGCGGCGGCGGACAGCGGCGCGGCGGCGGCGGCGGCGGCGGCGGCGCGGCGGCGGCGCGCGGGCGGCGGCGGCGCCGGCGGCGGCGGCGGCATTGGCCCCCAGTAGCTGCCCATCCAAAGACGACTGCTGAATATGCTGCGGCTCGGGCCAGGCTCGGGTGCTACGTATGTGTTGGGAGGGCGGGTGGGAGTGAGCGAGACGGCTTGCGGGCGGGGAGGGGGTCTTGATCACTGTTCCCTATTAATAAACACCCCCTCCCCCAGGCGACTGGGGGCCAACCAGGGTCCATGCCACCCCCCCACCATCCCTTGTAAAAAACAATACAAAACACACTCTGCCTCCAAATTCGGAACATGCGCAGCCAACCCGATGCGGCCCCCCCACCATCCCTGTCAAAAAACAATACAGAGTACACTTGGCGGCGGCGGCGGCTGCGGCGGCTGCGGCGGCGGCGGCGGCGGCGGCGGCGGCGGCGGCGGCGGTGGGTGGCGGCAGGGCTGCGGCTGCGGCGGCGGTTCGGCAGCGGGGGGCGGAGGCGGCGGCGGCGGCGGCGGCGGCGGCGGCGCGGGCGGCGGCGGCGGGCGGCGGCGGCGGCGGCGGCGGCGGCGACGGCGCGCAGGCGGCGGCAGGCGGGCGCGCGGCGGCGGCGGCAGCGGCGGCGGCGGGCGGCGGCGGCGGCGGCGGCGGCGGGGGCGGCGGGGGCGGCGGCGGCGAATTGGCCCCCAGTAGCTGCCCATCCAAGGACGACTGCTGAATATGTTGAGGCTCGGGCCAGACTCGGGAGCTACGTATGTGTTGGGAAGGCGGGTGGGGGTGAGCGAGACGGCTTGCGGGCGGGGAGGGGGTAACTTGATCACTGTTCCCTAGTAATAAACACCCCCTCCCCCAAGCGACTGGGGGCCAACCCAGGTCCATGCCGACACCCCCCCACCATCCCTACACACTCTGCCTCCAAATTCGGAACATGCGCAGCCAACCCGATGCGGCCACCCCCCCACCATCCCTCGTCAAAAAACAATACAGAGTACACTTGGCGGCGGCGCGGCTGCGGCGGCTGCGGCGGCTGCGGCGGCGGCGGCGGCGGCGGCGGCGGCGGCGGCGGCGGCGGCGCGGCGCGGTGGCGGGGGGCGGCGGCGGCGGCGGCGGCGGCGGCGGCGGTGGCGGCGCGGCGGCGGCGCGCGGGCGGCGGCGGCGGCGGCGGAGGCGGCGGCGGCGGCGGATTGGCCCCCAGTAGCTGCCCATCCCAAGACGACTGCTGAATATGCTGAGGCTCGGGCCAGACTCGGGTGCTACGTATGTGTTGGGAGGGCGGGTGGGAGTGAGCGAGACGGCTTGCGGGCGGGGAGGGGGTGACTTGATCCATCCCCCTACCCCCTCCCCTGGGCCTGGAGGGGGGGGGGAGCGCCCAAGATGAGCCAACATGGGTCCAAAAGGGCCTCAGAGAGCCCAAGATGGCCTCCAAGATGGCTCAAGAGAGCTGAAGATGGCTCAATGTAGCCTCCCACATACATCGAAGGCAACCCAAGACGGCCCCAATATGGTTTCAAATGCTCTCCGGGCCCTCCAAAGGCCCCCCGAGAGGCCAAAATGGATTCAAAACCTTGGGAACATCAATGCTGTTTGCGTTCTGGCCTTTTCCGCTTCTGATGGGCTTCCGAGGCTTCAAGATTGCCTGAAGACGGCCCAAGAGAGCCCCAAGAGGGGCCCAAGTGGGCCCCAAGAGGGCTCCAAAAGCGCCCAAGAGCACCCCAAGAGCGCCCCAAGACTGCCCCAAGAGGAAATGTTTGAGCCTCCGAAGGGGGAGGGCCTGAATTAGGGACCCCCCCCCCTTTTGAGCTACCTGGGCCAATACCGCCACAAGAGACCTCTCAGACCCGCCCCAAGGGCCCAAAAAGGACCCCGAGATGGGCCCCAAGGAGCCCCAATAGGGCCCCAAGAGGGCGCCAAGAGGACCTCCAGAGGGCCCCAAGATGGCCCCAAGAGACCCCGGTGAACCTCTCACAACAACGCTTCAACTCGCCTGGCAAACTGTTTCTGAATGGGCCTGTGGGGGTGCGCGAAGCGTCAAAGAATCGTACACTGTGAAATTGTGAATGGGAGGAGGGAGGCGGCAAGGAGGGAAATGACGAGAGGTATGGGAGGACGAGGAAGGGGAGGATGAGGAGGATGCGGTATTGGGGGAGAGGGAGGCGGAAAGAGAGGGCGAGAGGGAAAGAGATGGGAGGGAAATGAGGAGGGCGGATGAGGGAGGGTACGGGAGGAGACGAGAGGAATTGGGAAGAGAAACCAGGGAATGCGGAGAGGAGGGTGCCAGAGCTAGGGACAGAGAGAGAGAGAGAGACGTAGCACCCCGCAGTTGCGGATAAGAGTGAGGGGGCGGCGAGGACGTCGGCAATCTGCGAGGCTCTGAAGAATCCCGTCGCAGGCGCCTAACTTTTGCAAATTATGCAGTGAGCCCACCGCAGTCGCCGATTTTTTCGTTAAAACAATGTGGGCGGGTCGCAAGGTGGGTCGCGGGTGGGTCGCAGGTGGGTCGCGGCCGGGTCGCGGGCCGGATCGCGGGTGGGTCGCGGGTGGGTCGCGGGTGGGTCGCGGGGTGGGTCGCGGGCGGGTCGCGGGTTGGTCGCGGGTGGGTCGCGGGCCGGGTCGGGGGGGGGGACGACGACAACAACCGACAACAACACCAACAACAACACCAACAACAACGCCAACAACAACAACAACAACAGCACCAACAACAACAACAACAACACCAACACCAACAACAACAACAACAACAGCAGCAGCAGCAGCAGCGACAACAACAACAACAACACCAACAGCAACAACAACAACAACAACAACAAACACAATAACACCAACGACACCAGCAACACCAACGCCTGCACCAACAAAAAACACCAACCACAACAACGACGACAACAACAATAACAACAACACAAACAGCAATCACACCAACAACAACAACAGCAGCCAACACCACTAATAACAACAACAGCAACAGCAACAACACCAACACACACACACACCGAACACAACATTTCTACCACCAACACTAATAGCAACGTAACCACCAACCGCAACAACATCAACAACAGCAACATCAACAACAACATCAACAACAACAACACCATGTGAGGATTTTCCTGTTCAGACTCCACGCGCGCTTCAGACTCCGCCTCTTCTAACACCTACAATGGCAGCAGCACTAGCAGTAGCAGTAGTAGTAGCAGCAGCAATTTCTTACAGTAACAATAGCGGTGGCAGTAGCAGGAACATGGAAGTAGCAGTAGTAGTGGCAGTGGCAGTCCCCTCCACCTCCTAGAAATAGTGGCAGTAGCAGTAATAGTGGCAGTAACAGTAGTAGTAGCAGTGGCAGTAGTAGTGGCAGTGGCAGTCCCCCTTCCGAGGTCCATGCAAGTCTAGCCAGGCTGCACTAAGGCCCAAGGCCCAGCCAACGAAGTCCCCCCAAGGCCCAGCCATGGCAGTCCCCCTTCCAAGGCCCATGCTAAGGTCCCCCCAAGTCTCCCCCTCAGGCCGCCCCTCCGGCCCCCCTTCAGTAGTTGCAGGCTTTAAGGCTCAGCGATGAGGTTGGTGTCGCTCTGCACGAGATTTGCCTGCTTCTGCGCAGCCATGGGGGGCGACGGGGATGAGACGAGCCCTGCGCATGTGCGCCAAGAACCAGAGTGGGTGACAAGCCTCGCGACGCTGGCTGCGAGAAACTTCAAGAGGGTCCAGAATGACGCGGTGAACAGCATCATGCAGAAGAATGCTGATTTCACCATGTCCCTGCCGATATGGGTCGCCACGGTGCATCAAAACCCATCACCTACCCCAAAACATGTGAAACAGAAGTGGAGGAGAGGGAGAAGGCGGAGGAGGAGGATGAGGAGGAGGAGGAGGAGGAGGAGCAGAGGAAGATGATGAGAAGGATGGCTGTCGAGGAAGTCGGAGGAGGAGGGGGAGGAGGAAGAGAAGGAGGTGGAGGACAAGGAAGAGGAGGCCGTGGAAACAGCGAGCTCAGGAGGAAATGAGCAGGCAAGGGCAGAGGGTGTTCCTCTCCCCCCCCATCTCCCCCCTTTCTCTCGCCGCCTTCTCATCCCCGCACTCCGTCCAACCCTCCGTCCACTCCTTTAGTCTCGTGTTTGTGATTCCGCCAGGTCTTGAACATGTGCTCGATGACCCTGCCAGCAGTGTGGCCATTGGAGGGTGCTGTAAAGAAGGCGTACGAGCATTACTACCAGGAAAAAGGGTGCTACGCGTTCCCACCGCCTGGCCACATCGTCGAGGTCAGCTTCTACAAGACCCTGGCGCCGGAGATGGTGCGGAAGTTGCAGCGCGATAACCTGGACACGCTGTATTTGGCCTGGCTCATGCTGTTGCGCGACGTGCAGGAGAAAGAAGAGAAGCTCGCCAAGATCGTGGAAGCGGCAATGCAAGTCCCGATGAAGTTCACGAAGCGGAACAATGACAACGAGCGCGTGCTGAAGGTATACCAGTATAAGGAGGACGAAGAGAAGAATGCGGAGTTGTTGGGCCACTCCCTCCTTGGCCGAGCGCGCGAGCTAGCAGGGCCCCAAGAAGTTCTTCGTTCGAATTCTCAGAGCAGCACGCCCCCGGCGATCGAAGAGCTGTTCAATTCTGGCGGCATCACCTGGGCGCATAAGGAGACTACGATGAACTTGTACAGCATCAGGCTGCACCTCCGCATCCTCAGACGCCTGTCGATGGCAGTTGCCGACGTCGGCGCCCCGGCCTACAAGGACTCGGCCCTGTACTACTTCGACCGCAACGAGGAGATCTGGGGGCGCAAGCATCCGAATGTTACTATGCAGGAGACGGGCAGGTCTTTTGATGCATTTCAGAGCGCAGTTCCAGACCTTGGAGACCTACGCATGCTGGCGGAGACTTATCATGTCATGCTTCTGCGCGGATACAACGTGAAGGCGAGCGGCAGGCACGCCCCTGAGACCGCCAAGGCCATCCTGACTATGACGAAAGTTCCTTCTTCACTGTTGCCACGGTATCCTCTGTTCGAGTCGGTGCTGTCCGTCTACAAGACGCTGAAGACATTCCACAAGGAGTACCCATCAGGTTTGGATTTTGATGGCAAGGAATTGTTACATGTCAGCCACACTTACCCGATCCTTGGCGAGGGCACTGCGGAGAAGCTGAACTCAGAGATCCTGCTCCCTACGATGCTCAACAAGAAGTTTCAGGCATTCCTCGGGCACCCCACTGCTCTGGCCGTCCTCTTCATCAAGGACATGTTGCCCGAGTTGGATCAGCTCTACCAGGTGGACGTGGCTGAGCGCAGGGCCAAGGAGCGCGCGGTTCAGGGTGAGCGCGAAGAGTTTGACGTGGCTATGAGCTGTGAGGCCAGCGGGTTAATTACCGAAGACGAGGCCAAGTCGTTGAGAAACGTCTTCGAGGACAAGAAAAAAACGAACTACTGAAAATGGCGGACGAACTCTTGAAGGCCAACGTCGTGTTCATGAAGTGGTCAAGCACCCTTTTGGCTGACATCGAGAAGCAGCCGATGATTGCAGCAGGGGCTTCGCGCCTGTGGTTCTTCAACGCGGGCACCGACTCCACGAAGGACCCCAACAACAAAGCATCTGCGTGGCGCATGAAGGCAACGCCAGACGAGGACCACATCAACCAGATGGTCAACATCGTGGCGTCGTTCATCAATGAGTCAGATTCCGCCGTGATCGTCAGCGGCCGCAACAAGCTATTCCATCGTGACGCAAAGAAGATGGTGATGCAATGCAAGCCCAAGCTCGCGGTCAAGGAGTTGGAGATGCTGCCAGACGAGGGCGAGGTGTCGCAACACCTCCGCGTCGAGAGCAGCGTAGTTGGCACCGTGGACCTCACCGACCAGTACCTGCACATCATGAAGACCAAGCGCGCCATGGACACGAAAAAAGGAGTCCCTCGGCGATTCGTCCCAGGGAACACGGCATTCCGGACAATGGCTGGCATTCCCGTGGTCTCCAAGGACAGCATGGTAAAGGTATCGTATTCCGACCGCGAGGCAGTCTTCAAGCACGTGTGCGGCTCGGAGAAGTGGACTCCTGGGGCGAAGGCGGCCAAGGGCCAGGACCTGTCCGACGATGACGACGACGAGGCACCTGAAGATACAGCAGTTGACCCCCTGGAGGCGATCAACGGCGGCACTGCCACATTAGTCGTCCTGTTCTGGATGGAGCTGCACTTGAGGGTGCGCCTGCGAGGATTTGCAAAGCCCCATCGTCATTGACTCCTCCTCCTCCTCCTCCTCTTCTCCTCCTTCCTCCTTTCTCCTTCTCCTTCTCCTCCTCCTTATCATAATCCTTCTCTTTCTCCCCCTCTCCCCCATCCTTTCCTCATCGAGACAATGGGGGGGGGGGGGATCGGAGAAGGAGAATGAGGAGGATGACAAGGAGGACGAGGATAAGGAGGAAGAGGAGGAGGATGAGGATAAGGAAGATGAGGATGATGAGGTGTCTGGCTAAAGATTGATGGGGGCTTGCATCGCATAGGTGTGCGCTCAATTTCTGTGGGAGGCCGGGGCCCGCGTGTTGATCAATTTCACTCCGGGGGCTGGGCATATGATCAAGGCGGCGTTCATGCTCAGTGTGAAATCGATAGTCGTGTGTCATAACGAAGCTCACGTCAAAGTGCTGAGTGACGTCTTGCGTGCGCATCTGCTCGACGAGATCCAGAAATATGGGCCCGCATCAAGCAGGTTCCTCCCAGCGGACAAAGACGAGCGCCTGGAGAAGTGCAAGCCTGAGCGCCTCAAGCTGTACGAGATGCAGCGGAAGCGGAGCGCTGGCGACTCAGACCTCATCAGCCCCGAGGCGAAGAGGACTGCGCTTGGGTCCTCAGTCGACGCGATGCTGGCCAGCTTGGAGGGCACGCCGACCCCGAAGGCCAAGGCAAAGGCCAGGGCCAAGGGCAGCGAGACCCCCGAGGCCGAAGCAGGAAGCAGCCCTGCTGCTGGAGCTGAGGGATCCGCTGGGGAGGCGGGGAAGGTGAAAGGCAAGGCGGATGCCTCGTCTGATGTAGCAGGCCCAGCGGAGGACTTGCAGGCATTGCTGGCACAGTGGTCTAATAAGTAGGCGTTGTTGTTTGTTTAGACCCCCGCCACCCCAGCTTCTCCAACCCAAGCCCCCCGAAATACAAGTTCAGTATAATCTCAGTCCGACTCCAACAATTGCTGCTGTTGCTCAGCTCATGTGGCCCAGCCGTGGGCAAGATCTCATGCCTGCGGACATGCATCATGATATGTGGTGCTGTGTCTTATTCGGGCTTTCTTCCGAGTGTGTTAACTTGATATTTTATCGCAAGCGAGTTGCGCTTGCCTTCCATGCTCTGGCACATCAGTCTGCCCTCCATGTTGCGTCCCGGACGCCTGAACTTAACTTGCCTGCTGGTGCACCAGCTCTGAGCAATCGCAGAACTGTGAGAAACGCGCAGACTCTCAACAACAGAGGAGGGGGTGAGGAGGGAGAGGATGGGGAGAGGAGGGAGAGGAGGGAGAGGAGGATCAGGAGGATCTGGATGATCAGGAGAGTCAAGAAAATATCGAAATACAGGATCCAATCAGACAACCAAGCATCAGCAATGACGGCCAACGCCATGATAGTGATCACGTATCCCAGCAACCCATCCAGCAACACGATGCAAGATGCTGACCATGGAAGCGCAGCAGCATGCAGGGAGTAAGTGCAGAAAGATAACGACGACAATGGCGACGGCAAGCATGCGAAACAACGGCGACGGCGACGACGACGGCGCGTCCAGGGCGATGGAGACGCATAAGTGCCCACGAGCACGCGCCAAGAGGGATTCGCCATCATGTTGGATCGTCTTGGATGTCTGTTAGGCCAAACGCCGGCCGTCTCGGGGCACATTTGGAGGCCGTCATGGGCTGCGTTTGGGCAGCTTGACGGCACCATCTTGGGGTGTCGGGAAATTCTTGACGCTTCGCGCATCCCCGCCAGCCCATCCAGAAACGATATGTCCAGGCAAGTTGAAGAGATCATGGAAGTGGGGGAGCAACGGGAGGGACAGCCGATCCGTGCAAAGGATGAGGCGGAAGAGGAGGCCAGATGGATAGATGAGGGGGTGGCGAAGAACCGAGCGAAGGAGGGATGAGGACAATGATGACGCTGGGTGGATGGTTGAATGCCGCTCGGATGCCTCTTGGAAGCCTTTTGGAAGCCTCTTCGGGCGTCTTGGGGGTCTCTTGGCGGTCAATGGGGGTTCTTGGGCGTCTTGGGTGCTTCGGGGAGGCCTCTTGAGGCCGCTTGTGATCCTCCTGGGGGGCTCTTGGGGGCCTGTTGGAGGCCTCTTGGGGCCTCTTGGGGGTCTCTTGGAGCTTCGTGGCGGCCTCTTCGAGCCTCTTGGAAGCCTCTTGGAAGCCTCTTGGAACCATCCTGGGAGCCTCTTGGAGCCTCTTGGGGGCTTCTTTGGGCCTCATGGCGGCCTCTTGGGGCCTCTTGGAGGCCTCTTGGAAGCCTCTGGGGGCCTCCTGGGCGCCCTTCGGGGCCATCTTGGAAGCGATCGATCAAAGAAGAGGGTGGAGTTAATTAACCCCTCCCCCTCAAGAGAAAAAAATGGAGCCAAAACCATAGTAAAACCTATGATTTTGGCTTCCTCGCCGGTGCCGTTTTGGGCGCCCTGACCGCTCGCGACCGGCCCCGTCCAAGTCCAGGGGGGGGGGGTAGGGGGGAGGGGTAAACCCCTCCCCGAAGGGAAACAAAGGGGGTGGAAGAGGAAACTCCCTAAACCACCTGCGCCCAGAGGGCTGGTGGGGCTCGTTGGGGTAGCCTGGCCACGTCGTCGTCGTTCTCGTGGTCTTCGCCGTCGTCCTCGCCGTCATCGTCGGCTACGTCAACGGAGTAATCCCTCATCCGCCCTCCTGACTTGCCTGTTCTCCCGTGGTTTTCAGGCTCGGAAATATCCGCCGCATTCACCCCGCCAAATCGGAGATGCTTTCGGCACCCGGGCAACGATGGACCCTTCAGACCGCGCGATTCTGGAGAACGAGTCTGGTTTCGATCCCGACCTCTTGGCGGCGCTGGATGACGCGGCCAGGTTGGAGCTAGGGGAAGGGGTAAGGGGGTGGCGTGTTGGTGATGCCCCTGAAAACCGCCCTATCCTGCCCCGCCCCCAACTCCAACTGGGCCGCGTTGTCCAGAGGGGTGGCATCCCGCAGTTGACCAGAGAGACCTCGAGCTACGGATCGCCGCGCAACAAGCCCTTGACAACGCGAGGGCGGAGCGGAAGAGGTTGAGCCACGAGCCAAAAGGTCTACGCCTGGCTCAGGGGCTCCGGGGCCCCAGGAGGGGGGGGGGGAAACCCCTGGTTCCAGGGGCTCAAGGGCCCCAATGGCTCAAGGCTATGCCTGGCACAGGGACTCCGGGCTCAGGGGCCCCAGGGGGGGGAGGAAAGGAAGAGGTTGGGGGGCCATTGATCTCATTGTTCAATTATTAAGAGTCCTGGCCCCAGATCTTTGGGCACTTGGTGCGAGGCGCAGCGAGGTCCGCGTCGCGGGCACTGGCCGTTACAGCTCGTCTTCTTTAGGCCTTGACAGCGGTGCTCCCTTGAGGCCCCCATTTGATAAGCCCGCTGTGCCAGGCGCGACCAGCCATGAGAAGAAGGCGGCTCGCAAGAGGTCAAATTCGGATCACCCACGCGAGGTGGGCTCGAGCGTCGAACGCGAGAGGGGGGGCGGTGGAGAGACGGAAAATACATGCGAAGCATCGCTTCTGGATGGACTCGCCTGCGTGAGACGCTTGCCTGATGCGGTGCTCCCTTTGTCTGTCCTCTGTCACCCCTCTGCTTTCGGGGCGCGAAGGGGAGGGGGGGTCACGACCCCTCTCCTTGAACCTGAAATCTTCCTCAAATCAGATCAAATTCCATCCGAGGCCGAATGAACCCGAATAAGCTGTGGCAACGGTCTCTTAGAATGTCACGTGTAGATGTTGGGGCGGAATACTAGCATCCAGGAGAAGAAAGCCCTCTTGGGCCCCCAGGCCCTCTTGGAGCCTACAAGCGGCCTCCCTGGGCAACCCGGGGCCGCTGCAAGCGCGGGCGCCTGCTCTTTTAGGGCCTGCAATATTGTAGTCCCCAGGGGGTCACGGTGGGCTTCTACTGATCTCGTTACCATCGCCACCATCGCCACCATTAACATCATCGTCGTCGCCATCACCGCCACCAGCATCATCGTCGGGAGGCGTCGTCGCCATCGGTAGCAACATCGGCACTGCCACCGCCACCGCCATTTCGCAGCCGCTTCACGCCCAAGTATGGCTGTCCGTGCCTGCTTTATCTGCGTGCTGCGCGCGCTGTGCCCTGGGGCAGATGGCGCCTGGGGGGAAACAATTGTGGGCCCTGGCTTCCCCGACATGCCTCTCGAGGAGCTGAGGCGTCGCAGTGCCCATCTCACGTCTCTGGGAGCTTC